GGGGGGGACAAGTTTGTGGGGTGAGGAGATGTGTTTGTGGGGTGGGGGGACAAGTTTGTGGGGTGAGGGGACGGATTTGTGGGGTGAAGGGATGTGTTTGTGGGTGGGGGGACAAGTTTGTGGGGTGAGGAGACACGTTTGTGGGTTGAGGGGATGTGTTTGTGGGGTGGGGGGACGTATTTGTGGGGTGGGGGAGTCCCTAACGTTGTCCCCCGTCAGGTGCAACACGCAGGACTACACGTGGCACAAGGGCACGCGCTGCGAGGCCATCGTCACCGACTTCCAGGTGATGTGCGTGGCTGTGGGCTCGGCCGCCCTGGTGGTGCTGCTGCTCTTCATGCTCACCGTCTTCTTCGCCAAGAAGCTCTACCTGCTCAAGACGGAGAACAGCAAACTGCGCAAGACCAAGTGAGTGGCACCCGGGCTGGGGGGAGAGTCAGGGGGTGGGGGGGACACACGACAGGGCTGGCACCCCCAAAACTGTCCCCAACCCCTCCAGGGGTGGCACCTTGGTAGCTGCAAGAAGTTTGGGTGGTCTCAGCTCCTGGTGGTGGCACCGGGGCTTGGATGTGGTTCCCCGTCCCCACGTGGTGTCATCACCCACGGGGAGAAGGTGATGGTGGGTGGGAAGGCTCCTGGAGGCGGGTGCCCTTCTGGGGGGGGGGACGTGGGTTGTGGTTCCTGCTCCACCGTTAATCCCTTAAAGCTGCTCCTGACTGGCACCAGTTAATCTGCTCCACTGGGAGCTGGAGGCCACCAGCTGGACTCACCACCCTGCCCAGAGGCCCCCAGAGATGGTCCCCACTGTGTCCACTGGGGACAGGGCAGGGGAAGGTTGGGGTCACCACCACCCCCCCAGCGATTGCTGCCCACCTCCCTGGAGCCAGGGAGGAGAAAGCCCTCCCAGCCTGGGTCCCTAATGAGCTGTTAATTAGTGTTTGGAAGTGCCAAGTGTAATTAGCAGCCAAGCTCCGTGCCAGCCCCCCCCCCCCCCCCCATCAGACACCCGTAATCCCTCCCTGATTGCAGATGGTGATGTCCTCTGAGGATGCGTTTGTGGGGCGGGGGGATGAGTTTGTGGGGTGAGGGGACGTGTTTGTGGGGTGAAGGGACGTATTTGTGGGGTGAGGGCATGTATTTGTGGGGTGAAGGGACGTGTTTGTGGGGCCCAGGGGCCACCAGAGATGGTCCCCACTGTGTCCCCTGGGGACAGGGCAGGGGAAGGTTGGGGTCACCACCACCCCCCCAGCGATTGCTGCCCACCTCCCTGGAGCCAGGGAGGAGAAAGCCCTCCCAGCCTGGGTCCCTAATGAGCTGTTAATTAGTGTTTGGAAGTGCCAAGTGTAATTAGCAGCCAAGCTCCGTGCCAGCCCATGGGTCTCCCTCTCCAGCCCTGCCCTGGGCTGCCCTCACTGCCCCCCTACCCCCTCCCAGCCTGGGTCCCTAATGAGCTGTTAATTAGTGTTTGGAAGTGCCAAGTGTAATTAGCAGCCAAGCTCCGTGCCAGACCATGGGTCTCCCTCTCCAGCCCTGCCCCGGGCTGCCCTCACCGCCCCCCTACCCGCCCCTCCCCAGAGCTGGGGGTGTTTTGCCCCAAAACCCCTGATCTGGGGGCATTTTGCCCCAAAGCCCCAGAACTGGGGGCATTTAGCCCTTCCAAGCCCCCAGATCTGAGCCGTTTAGCCCCAAACCTCCATCACTGGTGAGATCTAGCTCCCAAACCTCCAGAGCTGGAGGGATTTAGCCCCAAACTCCCTGATCTGGGGGCATTTTGCCCCAAACTCCCTGATCTGGGGGCATTTTGTCCCAAATTCCCAGAACTGGGGACATTTAGCCCCCAGACTCTAGATCTGGGGGGCATTTAGCCCCCCCCTCCAAGTCCCCAAATCTGGTGCATTTGGCACCAAACCTCCACCCCTGGTGGCATTTACCTCCCAAACCCCTAGAGCTGGGGGAATTTACCCCCCAAAACTCCAGATCCGGAGACATTTAGCCCCCCCTCCCTCCAAGTCCTCAGAGCTGGGGGTAATTAGCCCCAAACCCCCACAGCTGGGGATATTTAGCCCCAAACCCCCACAGCTGGGGGTAATTAGCCCCAAACCCCCACAGCTGGGGATATTTAGCCCCTAAATCCCCAGGTGTGGGGACATTTAGTCTCCAAACCTCCATCCCTGGGCACATTTAACCCCCAAATCCCCATATCTGGGGGCATTTAGCCCTAACGCCCCCCAGATTTGGGACCATTTAGCCCTCAAACCCTCAGACCAGGGGGTATTTAGTCCCCAAACCCCCAGATCTGGGGGCATTTAGCCCCAAAACTCCATCCCTGGGGACGCTTAGCCCCCAGATCCCCATAGCTGGGGACATTTAGCTTCCCCCCCCCCCCCACTTTGGGGGGCTTTTAACCCCCAACCCC